TAATATAAACTTAATGTAATTAAAGAGAAAATACTTCTCTAATATGTTATTAAATAGGATTCTAGAGGATTTCCCCTGTAACTTGCTAGTGTGGAAGATATAGTGAATCTCCTGCTGCAGATATGGAATAGGATGTCTGTTTAGAAGTATTAGGCTAAGAGGTTTATTAACTTACAGCTAACTCTAAAGATTACATTTAATTATTTATATAATTATTAAGGGGTATTTTAAGAGGACCTAGAGGTTATTTTAAAGTGGTTTATATTATTAAGTAATATAATAGCTAAATATAGTATTAATAATAAGGATCTATATAACTTTAATAAGATTAGCTTTATAATAGGTATTATTATTAGTTTAATAGCTATTATATATGCTGATAGATAAAGAAAAGGAAAATCTATTTAGCTTAGTAATTATAAATAGGCTATAGTTATTAAGTGTATTAATTTAAGGGGATAATATATCCCACCTTTTATAATTATTTAAAGGTCTTATCACCTTACTAATTAGTTAATAGAATTAGGCTTTCTACGCAACTAGGTGATTAAACTAACTACTAATAGATAGACTGATAATAAAATTAGTTTAGATTAAATTAAGTATTTTCAAAAGCATACTTAGGCTTATATAAAAGGTGTCTATTAGATGCTTATAATTAATAGATATAAGAGCTATTTATCAGCTGAATTTAATAGATGCTATACGTAGAATAATATTATAACTATTAGTATGCCTCTATATTTATCTTACTTACTCTAGCTATTAGATATTACGCTATACTTACTTTTAAAATATATATATAGGGATGAAATTAACCTATTTATTAAATCCTCTATTAACTATATCATAAAGTCTAAGTTCTTTATTACCTTCTATAAGGCTTATAATAAGATCTTTATAAATAAAATATTAAATCTGCCTTCTATAAAGCTAATATTTTACTATAAGACCTAAATCATATAATTAAGAAACTTAATATATATATATAGATACCTACACCTCTTATAACTAATCCCTTAATACTATTAGCCTAATAGTTATAAATACCTTCTAACTAATATAAAATACTTTTATAATTAAACTTTATTAAAACTTAGATCTCAGCCTATTAAGGAAGCTCTCTAATACTAATAATTAAAATAGTTAACTAACTAGCAAAAAATATATAAATAATAGCATACTTAATTATAATATTAATAGATCAGGTGTATATACTTCAGAATGCTAATATAGCGCTTACTAAGCCCTAAAGAGCAGAAAAAATATATATCCAGCTTAGAGGAGCACTCAATATAGCAGAATCTCAGGTTATCCTAGAAGAAAAGGGTAAAAGAAAATATCTAGCGCCTCAAGAAGGTGAAGATAGAGGTCTATCGAAGAAGGGTCAGTCAGCTCAATAGCATTGCAGTGTGTGCAGCAAGACAGGCTATAATATGCGAATATGTTCTAAAGATGTAGAATCATCTAGTGAATTAGATGCTGATAAGAGCTAATTGATTTTCTACGTTCTGGTTGTAAAAACTTATATGATGTTTGAAAGATGAGGAAAAGTGTGCAGCTGACTGATATATGCGGCTGACTAGTAAAGCATATTAAAGATAAAATAATTAATTAAGTTAGTAATATCTCTATAAATAAATAACTACTATAGAGGTATTAAATATATACTTTATATTTCTATTATATAGTTATATATTTAAAGACTACTATAACTATAGTAATTAATAGTAATTACGGCGCTAGTAATAGATTTAGCGCATTTGACTTGTAATATAGAAAAATACGTATCACAGCGTAAAATAGGCTTTTTTTTATATTTTTGCATAAGCAGGGAAAAAAAGGGGGGCAGACGCTATCAGTGCAACAGACTATAACCCACTTCGAAAGCTGCGCTGCAGCGATGCAACACTGTCGCGTGCATCAAGTTGATAATAACCATGCGATTCCAGAAGACCAGCTATTGACGCCGCATGCTTTTCAGATCTATTCAATGACGTCTCTTCGGATTGTAAGAAAACAGTCAAAACTTACGGTTGATGTCACATTTTTCGTACGTTCAAAGTCAAGCTGTGCTAGCTTACATTGAGTGGGAGCATCCGCAAACACTACTTCTGCTCCTGAATGACAGGAAAAAACGGGTTGACGTCTTTCCAGATGTTCAGAGAAAGGGTGCCCTAGCAATACTCCCGGAGAACCCCTGGGCGATGGTGCCTTCACCGGATTATCCGACGCCAAGCTGGATGGTGGAGACGCGACAGAGGCACAGAACCCAGTCGACTCCTGTTTGCCCCTCGAACACTCGATGACTAAGTTAAGGGTGCATGGGAGGTTGACGATGAATTCTATTGTCTAAAAGGAATGAATAAAGTCATAATGATAGGACTAACTGAGCACCCGTAATCTAGGTATCAAGACAACGAGCTTCTGAAATACCAGTGATCACGGCTTTTCCAAAGTGCTCCTTCTTCCAAACTCGCTCATAGACCTGCTTAAGCTCTTTAAGTGAAAACTCGACGCTGTCCAGAACAGGCTTGATGTCCTGACACTCAATGGCCTTGATCATGTCTTCAAGCTGCTGTCGGCTTCCAACTTCCACGCCGCGAACCACACAAGCCCGAACCAAGGGTTCGAGGAATGTCGGATCCCCTAGTCCCTGAATCTGTCCAGCAATGAACCCGATGACATTTATGATACCGCCACGGGCAACGCACTGGAAAGACTGACGGATTGTCGCAGGCCCGCCGACTTCAATGACGTGGTCGCAGCCAAGGCCTCCAGGAGTGAGTTTGCGGGCAGTCTCCCCCCACTTCTGATCTTCTTTGTAGTTAATGATGTGCTTGACTCCCATTTCGCGAAGGAGCGCTGCCTTCGCTTCTGAGGACGTCGTGGCAATCACCGAGGCCCCTGCAGCAAGGGCAAACTGAATGGCGAACATCGACACGCCACCCGTGCCTTGCACGAGAACCCAGGATCCAGGCTTGATCGGGTTGTATCCGTATAACGCGTTCCATGCAGTCAGCGCCGAACACGGAAGAGTTGCTGCTTCCTTGTACGAAAGGTTCTTCGGCATCTTTGACAAAGCGCGTTGATAAAAAACAGCGTCCTCGCAGAAAACTCCCGGGGCATCCAGACCACAGACACCTCGCCCGGTCTCGACAGTGGGGGCCGACCCAAAGTCGAAGTTTGGGTAGTAGATGGGGAATACACGATCTCCATTAGTAAGGTTCTTGAAACCGCTGCCCACATAGACGACTTCTCCTGCTGCATCAGAACCCGGAATGCCAGCTGGGTCGTTTTGTTTCCAGGGGTAAGTTCCAGTGGCGACTATGTTGAAAGGCAGTCAGCTTATGGATGTCATTGTTCACGCGGCTTGATAGGGCCAAAACTCACTTGCAATCTCAGGGTAGTTCAGAGACCACGCGTGGAATTGAATGAGAACATCATGCTCGGAGATCTTCGGTAAGTCCAAATTTTGTTTCCAGACAAGAGCTACCGAGCCATCGTTAGGTGCGGTGCCCTGAATTATCCATCCTGAAGTATGTTCGGGTAACGTCATGTTGCAATTGGAGCTTGATGGTTGATTCTGAGAGGAAGTGTGTTGACGCAAAGAGTGGGAGCTCCTTTGCTCAACGATTCGTTTTATAGCCAGTAGACGAAGACGACCCTGTTAATAACCCGTGAAACTCTCTGCTATCTTACTACAACCCTCATAGCACATTCTATGTGTAGTGATGAGGAGAATAATTTGTCAGATGACGTGTGAAGTGGGCATTGTTCAACAGTAACACGTGTTGCAGCTACCAACGTACAATAGACCCTTGAATGATTGTTACACCCTCTACCTCAATATCGCCCCACGATCTACCTGTTCAAGCCGCTTTTCTGCATACTGCGTTCGAATAAGCAAAACTGCTATAGAAGCTTCAATTTATTAAAAAGATACAATTGGTCTGTAGTAAAAGCTGGCAGGGTCAAATTACCACGCTAATAATCATTCAGGGGGTGTATTGTATTCTTATTCACTCTTACTTCTCAGAAATGTTCTAGAAACCCTTGGCATAAGTCGTGCTTTTGCTTTGGGACTGGGATTGTGATCGGACTCACGATAGATTTGTCAGGTACCTCATTCATCAAGAGGACGTCTGCGCCAAGCAGCGACTAAATTGGATGAGCAATCTGTTATATGTCATGTGAAATTTGTATGCGCGGTCCGAAACGCGTCTTCTGGCACATCTCCAAGTCGCATTTCCCGACTCCAAGTCTCCAAGTCGTGAGTCCTAGTGGTGGGGGTAGGGTCTCCGACACTTGCGTTTTTTGGTCCACGAATTGGAGGGATCTACGTAATGAAGCATTCCAGACCCAGTCACACAGTGGCGCATAGGTCCATGGGGGTATCGAATATCCCAAGTGCGTGGATATAAAACAACAGGTTGGATCTCTGATGTGCAGTGAAAGACACATAACAACGGCCTAGGAGCATGCAAGAAGGATATGCGTGAGCAGCCAAACATCGGCCGAAATGGAACGTTTTTCTTGTTTGCGTTCGATTTATTACTTACGTAGACCTCAAACTGTCCACATCTTTTCTTGAGCAAGTGGGATAATAAGAAACTGGAAGCATCTGCACTTAAATGGCGTGGAACCACGAAATCCGTTCACAAACAGAGCTTGAAACTGCCAACCAGTCTAGAATTCGAACATTGCTAGTAAGAAAAAACAAAGAAAAAAGGCAAAAGGCAAAGGGGTATGTTTGAGGACCTTGTCATCTCGGAAGTCACAGCGGAAAGTCTGGGAACGAGTTGGCCAGTCGTCCGGGTTGGCCACAAATGTGGCTGGGTATTGGGCCTCCTGTGGGAGGTACATTCTCTGTTTGGAACAGTCGGTATTATACACCCTCTCAATCTAGTCCCCAGACACAGTTCCTATCAGCAAAAGCATAGATATCACGGGCGGCATACACACTCAACAAGCACAAAATTAAACGAAGACGAGCAGAAATGGATGACCGTGCCCCGTCGCCGTCCCCAAGTTATTCACTCTGTGATGCCGAATCTGATTCCAGTTGGCAGACATGCTTCAGAACCGAGACATCAGATCTCCATAAGGAGGATGGCGTACCAACACAATCATCAACAGCATCGGAAACTCCCTGGAACACGTCCAAACTCCTGTCGATGTCACTGAACGAGATTGAAGCAGAACACGGTCGCATCCTTCACAGAATTAAAGACCTAGAGAAGAAACTAGAGCCTTTGTCTTACGACTTGGACTTCTGGTCCTCCTACGCACAGATCGATCAACTTCAGGTTCAAGGCATCGCACTCGAGGCCCACGAACAGTTCGTCAAGAAAAGATACTTCGAGGAATTGGACGTCGCACGCTTTGGAGCCTGGCTGAGTAAGACAGAAACACAGTACAGATGGCAAGCTCGTCACTTGGCACACCAAAAAGCCGTTGACATTTGCAACTACCAAGTTAATAAGTCTGATCCCGACCAGGGTCAACTAGAGGAAAACTTTATGAAGTTCTTCCGAAGCCCAAATTATCGGCCAAGCTACCAAAACGAGAAGATGTTTCGGGAGCAGCTGGCAGAAAAGTACCACGCCGGTCACAAAGCGGAAAAGAAGTATGAATACTGGGATCCTGTGCTTGGCAAGTGGCCTCCACATGATCGCTGTCGGCCAGTCCGACTCTTTCCAAGTCGCTGGGTCGATATCATGGACAGAATTTTCGGCGAAGGAGCCTCAAAAGATATCTTCAGCGCTTACAACGAACTTTTGACGCATCCTATCATTGGTCGAGCTCTTGATGAGGGTATTCTGGCTCTCATACCAGATGAATTTGACGATGCGAAAGGCTATCAAGTTGTTGTGATCGACTACTGGCATGAATGCCTTGAGATGCGATTGGACCGTGCGAATCCGGAGCTTGGTGTAACGTTTCTCTGGGAACTTGAAGGCCGCATGCTTTCCTTTCGCGACGATTTCAGACCTAAGGCACAATACATGTCGTGGAACTATATGAGCTCAGCTATAGTTGCTGCTTGGAGATCCAAGAATACCCATGGTTATTACAAGTCCAAGATTAGGGTCTACGTTGAGGATGACAATGAAGGTGGCAAGTGCCCTATTAAGTATTCCCAATTCGTGATGGAAGTGGGAAGGCTCTGGAGGCAGGCATGCTCCGGAAAGCTCTGTGTCAGTGACAGCATTCCCCCTTTCTTCCCTTCTAACTTTTTTCTTTATAGTTTGCCGCCTAGAGGCGTAATTTATTAACTACTATATAACTCTTCTAGGGAAATATTTAAAACCTAAGATAGTTTATAGAGAAACTATTATAACTGTTTATAGAGGTATATAAAAAAATTAAATTACTAAGAAACAAATATCTTTTTTTTTATTACTATGATTTATTATACTAAAATACTAAAGCAATATTATATTTACTACTTTTATAACTACTTTAAAAATAGTAATAACTTTATTTAGTTAACATACTTTACCAGTCAGCTGCATATATCAGTCAGCTGCACACTTTTCCTCATCTTTCAAACATCATATAAGTTTTTACAACCAGAACGTAGAAAATCAATTAGCTCTCATCAGCATCTAATTCACTAGACGATTCTATATCTTTAGAACATATTTGCATATTATGGCCTGTCTTGCCGCACATACTGCAATGCTGTTGAGCTGACCGACCCTTCTTTGACAGACCTCTATCTTCACCTTCTTAAGGCGTTGGATGTTTCCTTTTGCCCTTTTCTTCCAGGATAACCTGAGATTCTGCTATATTAAGTGCTCTTTTAAGCTAAATATATATCTTTTTTGCTCTTTAGTGCTTAATAAGTATTATATTAGCATCCTAAAGTGTGTACACCTAATCTATGAAAATTATAATTAAGTATGCTATTATTTATATACTTTTTATTAGCTGGTTAACTGTTTTAATTATTAGTGTTAGAGAGCTTCTCTAATAAGCTAAGATTTAAGTTTTAATAAAGTTTAATTATAAAAGTATTTTATATTAGTTAGAAGGTATTTATAACTATTAGGCTAATAGTGTTAAGGGATTAGTTATAAGAGGTATAAGCATCTAGATGTATATATTATGTTTCTTAATTATATAATTTAGGTCTTATAGTAAAATATTAGCTTTATAGAAGGCAGATTTAATATTTTATTTATAAAGATCTTATTATAAGCCTTATAGAAGGTAATAAAGAACTTAGACTTTATGATATAGTTAATAGAGGATTTAATAAATAGGTTAATTTCATCCCTATATATATATTTTAAAAGTAAGTATAGCGTAATATCTAATAGCTAGAGTAAGTAAGATAAATATAGAGGCATACTAATAGTTATAATATTATTCTACGTATAGCATTTATTAAATTCAGCTGATAAATAGCTCTTATATCTATTAATTATAAGCATCTAATATACACCTTTTATATAAGCCTAAGTATGCTTTTGAAAATACTTAATTTAATCTAAACTAATTTTATTATCAGTCTATCTATTAGTAGTTAGTTTAATTACCTAATTACTTAAAAAGCCTGATGCTATTAACTAGTTAACAAGGTGATAAGACCTTTTAATAATTATAAAAAATAGGATATACTATCCCCTTAAATTAATACACTTAATAACTATAGCTTATTTATAATTATTAGGCTAAATAGATTTCACTTTTCTATATCTATTAGTATATATAATAACTATTAAACCAGTAATAACACCTATTATAAAGCTAATCTTATTAAAGTTATATAAATCCTTATTATTAATACTATATTTAGCTATTATTTTACTTAATAATATAAACCACTTCAAAATAACCTCTAGGTCCTCTTAAAATACCCCTTAATAATTATATAGATAATTAAATATAGTCTTTAGAGTTAGCTATAAATTAATAAACCTTTTAGCTGAATACTTCTTAATAAGCATCCAATTCTATATCTATAGCAGGAGATTCACTATATCTTCCATACTAGCAAGTTATAAGGGAAATCCTCTAAAATCCTACTTAATAATATATTAAAGAAGTATTTTCTTTTTAATTAAATTAAGTTTACATTATTAAGGCTAGATATAGTTATAGCATAATTAATTATTTATTCTGTTGCATAAAGTATTTTTAGGGATACTATATATCTTTACAGCACCTCAGATACTAAGTTTATAACCTAGAGCATATGTCGATTAGATCGCCTTAATAGCAAGAATGATCTTATCTTCTTAGGTGTAAATCGGCATTGCGGTTGTTAAGATATTATGCGTCAAAGGTTTAAGTGGCTGGGAATAAAGCGTGTTATGGAAAAGGTGTGCGGCTGACTGATGTGCGCAGCTGACTGGTAAAGTATGTTAATTAGAAACAAGAAGGATAATATTTATAAATTTTAAAATAAATACTTTTTTTTAAAAAAACTATAATAAATTCAAAGAAGTATTATTTTTCTATTATTTATTAGTATATGTTATCCTCTATTAAGATAATTATAATAATATCTTTTTTAAAATATTTAATAAGTTTAAAAGTATTACTAAAATATTTAACAATAATAAAATAACTAATAATTAATATTATAAAAACAAATAAATAAAATTATTTAAAATAAAAGAGCTTATTAATAAAACTTAAAATAATACTATAGTTTAATAAAGTAGTAATCAATAAAAGTAGTTAGATATATAGGGGGTAGTTAAAGTAAGGGGGACCTCTTATATATCCCTAGTTATATAAAAATCCACAAAAGAACTCTTCACAAACTATCAGTAACAGCATTCTGACGTCGTTAGTCATGATTGCAGGGCACCATGCTGATCCAAAGATTGACGATGGCTTCGATCCCACCAAAGCTAATCATGAAGCTGCAGCAATCATCGTTTCCGAACAAGCCAGAAGAGGGATTGACGACAGGGACCGCGTATGTGTGGACGAATATGAACGTCTCGGTTGGGGCATGTGCGCCCAAATTCTGGACTCATGGGCAGAAGACATCGCGATAGAAATCCAAAAGGAGCTTCTGGAAAGTAAAACCGCCGGCGAATCCATCGGAGTCGAGGACTGGATGGCGCGGAAGGATAACCATAAACTCAAATCACGAATGCTCGCTCTCAAGCAGTTGAGCATAATCGCCAAAAGAAGACGATCCAGGGATAGGTGGTACGATGGACTTCACAAATTTATCAGTTTTTTCGAAATTGACGATGGCGCTCAAGTGGAAGGCGTGTCCCAGGAGGAAGCCTTCGCTCACATCATGTGCGGCGCATACTGTCCCAATCCGCCCGAATGCAACCAACGATGGGATCCTGTTCTTCATGAATGGGGAGGCTTTCGAGTTGTTCGTGCGAGGCATCTGTGTACACCACGTCACCAAGACTTACTGGACAACTGGATATATGATGAAAATACACCTGAGCAATGGCTCAGTGCCCAGAATGGTCTATTCATTCACGAGGACATTGCCCAGGGTCTGAGGGATGGCGTACTCTGTATTGTGCCGGACGTCGGCGTCGATCCGGATGAGTTTGGCAGTAAGTCAGGCGAAGATTCGGACGCAGAAGATGACGAGCATAGACAGTGCCTCAAAGCTTGGCAAGAAAGCCCCATCAAGGAGTACAAACTTCTCCTCATTGATCCCACACACCCATCAGCAAAGCAGGGCAAGACACTCAGCATAAAGCAAGACATAATTTCTTTGAGGCAACTGGAAGGTCGAACACTGAAACTTCAGACAGAAGCTCGCCCTGGTGACAATTTCGTTTGTTTGAACTTGCTTCCATTGCCGTAGCCAGCTGGCGAAAGACGGACCAGCGAAAGAGATGCAGACGAGTCATCGATAAACAGATTCAACGCGCATGCCGACACTGGGGAACCTGGGGTTATGAGATATTCGAAAGGTTTGTACGAGACTGGCTTTTCGACAATGACTTTTTGGAGGCCATGATTGCATGCGAACGAGCATATCCTGGAGAGCATGAGGTTGAGAAGGCTGAAGCTGAAGAGGCATTCAAGATTTTCAACTGAACTTGATAGCCCTCAGAAGCTATATTAGTAGTACGTCTAGGCAATGCATTTCTACCTGGATGCACGTCTAGTCCTTGTCTAAAGAGTCTTGATTTCAGTGTGCGATGTGATGATATTAAAGCGCCCCCAGATTTGAGTCCATTATCGGCTCTGTCTACATGTATCCACTAGGGCGTGAAAATGTCTTGTTGTCCTCAGGACAGGTTGAAAGATTAAGTGAAATGAGACGAGCCATCCAGTTAAACCTTGATGAGCTGCCTTTTTTCTTCTTCTTTTTTTTTCTTTTTTTAAAAAAAAAATGGGAAAACAAAAGACCTGTGTGGTGGGAAGCAAAGTGGTCGATATGGCGACAACAGGGTAATCACTACCCGTACGACCACATGCTCCTCCGATATCTCAATGGTGTTGATATATACGTAGGAAATTTCCCCATGAAACTGTAAAAGTGTTTTCCAACCGCTTCATTGACTTCAATATCGATCAGTTCGTGTCATTTTCCTTTAGACCCGTCACAGTCATGGAGCAGTCAACTGAGAGCATCCTGTCGCAAGAGACCGTCAGATGCCGCCACCAATCTGAAGATAGTCACCAATTTTCCTTTTACAGCACGGGATATTGTACTTCTTTTCTATCTCGGCGCGCCCAGAACCAGGAAAACAGCCCGATTTTCTGACTTTCCGATCATGTACTTCTCGACATATTCTGTTATCTTGGTCCTGTCGAACTTTGCTGCGTTCGACAGGTTTCCTCGCGGTTTGCATCCATATTTACGAGCCATAATTGGTTATTCGCAACTACAAGCCTCCAAAAGGAAGGGAAGCACAATCCATACCAGCGAGCCCAACAGGCTGGCGGGCCGAATGGTCACGACAGCGGCAGTCTCACCAGCGCACATGAGCCAATCGTGAAGTTCAACCAGAATATCATCTCAGCCCATCACAAGGGTAGTATCAGGGATCTTCTTCGCTTTGATGTCTGCCGCGATTGTCTCTCCAGTGCATATTTCCAACCTTATGGGGGGAACGGCTACCCGCACCCGACACCCTGCACCGGCTGCAAGATCAACCATAGATGCACGTTATTTTCGAATACTCAGTATACATCGCCACGTCCAGTGTGCATTGCCTGGGAGGGAAAGTTCAGGCTTTGCCGCCACAAATTCTTGTCTCTCTCGGAACCGATTAACCACAAGAGGCGGCAGAACGGAGACAACACAACATTCGAGTGCACAGATTGCAAGAAGTCGCTTGTAAATGTTGGCGATGTGCCACCAAGACTTCTGCGAACGCCCAAAGATAGAATTATGGCGACCTGGAAGCTCACGGTCTGTACTTTGGAATCGAACCAAGTTGTCACCAAGGACCTGTTGAAACAAGGTCTAGGCCAAATACAGCCACACAACGATTGCCTATGCGCACATACGGATTTCAAAGACAGCTTTCTGTTGCATCCATTTGACACCAACTGCTGTCTTTGCTTTCGGACAACCGCGGCTTCAAATGCATGCCCGGAACATTCAACGCCCCTGGCGGATAGGTGCTGCATATGCCGCGGCGATTTTGACAATCTTGCGGGAAAGTTCATGGCAGACTGTGAGCTTGATACTCACCACACAGCCAGGTGCGAAAAATGCGTGGCGACATATCGTTGGACCTTGGAAGGAAATAAGGTGATGCTAACTGGAATAAGAGTTGTCTCAGAGATGGAAGTGGTCCAGGATGCGAAGGGAAAGCAGGAGGCTTGGCTGACGCCCAAAGTTGAGGACTTGCCGCTGTGGCTCAAATCTCTGGATCCAAGCTCTTACGAGGGCAATGAAGACACATGGGAATACAACATGTGTAAGAGGGATAGTTGCCACCGCTCAAGAAAGAAGGGACTAGCTTGGTACGTCTGAGGATTTGTAGCTTGGTTCTATCCAAGAGCTCAGTAGCTAGCTTTGGAAATTGATTCCGCTGGAACTGCCACACTGCAAACGAATGAAGAGTCTCAGAGATGGTGAAGGTCCGCAAGCCTTAAGACGGACTCCATCGTCAAAGACAACAGTGGAGTACTTAGAGGAACGCCATATCAGGATCACGCATCCATGGGAAGTTTCCATTGAGATAATCAATTTGAATCCTCTGAGATTCACAATAGAGCGATCGTTCTCGACATTAGCAGCCGTTCGTGTAGCCTGAGTAGCGAAACTGGCTCCAGTAACATGCACATACGGGTCTTTGTGTAACATTGAATGTTTGCTGGTACAATCAGCCAATAACAGCTATGCTGACTTGCCAATATGCATTTGATTCTGCCCCATATCGAGTACGCGTTCTCATTGGGACAATAAAGGGACTGTGCATTTATAACTGATCTTGGATTAGGCTGCGGCGGCGACATTTCTTGCCTTCTTCACACAACATCTCCGGGCCATTTGGACTTCGTCTAGACGCCTCTGGCCTAGGGCTTGCGTCTATGATCAAAAAAGCTCTTATTTCATCTGTTTCATCTCCTGCGAGAATCACGTCTTGCCGTCGGCGACCATGGAAGCACTTCGCGCTGCTATTGCGGCAGCCGAACGCACCGGACAACGACTAGTGGTGGAATTCTTCGGATACTCCGGGCCAAGTTTTGTTCAGAAGCGTCTGGAGGAGCTTGAAGAACTAAGCGAGATTTGCGACCGTATAGAACGCAATCCCGTTCTCGGGCGCGACCGCGATACCGAGGCCAGTCTGTAACGGTGTGCCGACAATATCTCAGATATGAAAGTCCTTTTTCAGGAGATCATCTCCACAAAGCAGGACCACTGGTTCAGGCAGCCATGGAAGTTCCTTGTCGGAAAAGATGTAGACGAAGAGATTGTCCGTCTTTTTAACAGGCTGCGGAGGGAGAAGGCGTCGTTGGAATTGCAAATAGCAACTGCCACCTCGTATGTTTAGTCTCCATGCTCTTCTTATGGCTGAGCGACTGACAGTCTTACAGAGATGCACAGTATGAAATGGGCGAGGATCATGATACAGACCAGTCTAGCACCACTGCCATTAACTACAATGAAGACGAGGCGTTTCTTTCAGCAGTATTCATGACCGACCCAGTTGACGAAAGACTTGCTCTCATCTCTACCAAAGGAAAAAGAGCCGACGGAACTTGCACGTGGGTGCTCGGAAGGGATGCATACCGCACGTGGATGGACACAAGATGCCCAGGCTTGTGGATCACAGGCGGACCAGGTATCGGCAAATCCATGATGGCAATTTTCATGACCGAACGGCCTGAGCTGAAGACCGCAACGTCGGCCAAGGAGTCTGTCATTTACTTCTTCTGTGACAGACAAGGGGAAGAGAGCAACAGCGCCCAGGCGATACTTCGCGGTCTTATCTGGCAACTCGTTAGGCTGAAGCCCAGCCTGACTAAAGATGGGCTATCTGAGTTGCTCTATTATCGGCGGAAGGCGATATATGATACGAGAATGGTGACTCTGTGTCGAACTTTCAACAACATGGTGGAAGACCCGGACGCTGAGTGCATCTTTCGTGTGATTGATGGCCTGGACGAATGCGATAGCACATCCAGCGAGCTGGTCAACTGTCTTCTGGGTGTGACTACTTCCAGGTTCAAGCCAATAATTCTCAGTCGACCCCTGGATTGTGCACTGACGAACTCACTCTCCAAATACTTTATGATACCTTCATACAGAAATCAGAAGGGATATTTCTCTGGGTTGGTCTTGCGGCACACGAGCTCGAAAAGAGGCCATTGGCCATGGTCGAAACCTGCCTACGCAGCCTGCCTTCTGGCTTACGTGGTATCTACAGCCGAGTTCTGAGAAGCATAGATCCTGTGTCTATAAAGTCTGTGTCACGCCTTCTCACTATGATTACCACGGCTTATAGCAACTTGAGTATCAAGAACGTGGTATCTTTATTGGATATTAAGCCTGCTGGCCAGCTCACAGCCGCTGAGGTGGGAAAATCACTTATCGCCCAATGCAGGAGCCTTCTGTTCCTCTCACCTAAACCGACAAGTCGGAAGAAGGTCATACGATTGGTGAACCATTCGGTGAAAGACTACCTGTTCGCTCATCAGAAGGCACCGACCAAGGCCCGGGGGCGTTTCATTTGCAACCGCAAGAGGCTCATTTGGAATTCGCAAGTCTTTGTCTCGACACAATGGAATCATCGAAACTTCAGAAGCCTCGCAAAAAAGACATTCAGGCTTTCCGGGAAACAGGATTCAAGGCGCAGTACACGATGAACTATTTCAGTTACCATGCCAAAAACAGTGGCAGAGAATTTTCGTCACTGGTGCGCAGGACCTTACCCTTCCTAGCAGCATTAATCTACGCTCTGGATTGTGGATCCAATTGTCTTAGTCTAACACAGGGGTTATCGCCGCTTGACGTCTTGCCTATTTTGAGGCATATTCTTGACAAGCCTCTGGGCCTGTAATTGGCCACACATTTCCCAGGTTATACCCGCGGAATGAAGCCGCTGGACGCTGCGGCGTTGTGGGAAAATGGTGAAGTCGTCCGTGTCTTACTTGAGAAGTCGAGACACCTACCACGAAAGTGGTCAGCTTCTGCAACGGACCGGGCTGGGGACACCCTTTTGCATGCCGCCGCATCACGAAGCTCTGTATCTTCTGTACAAGCCCTTCTTGACTACAGATCCGACCCCAATGTATCCAACACCCAGGGTCATACGCCGCTTCACAAGGCGGTATTTGAGGACCATTCGGAAATTGTACGATTGCTATCATCAGCCGGAGCTCAAGCCTCGGCTCAAGATTTGTGCGGTCGTACTCCACTGTTCTTCGCAGCCGCGATTGATCTGAGGCATGGCGCACATAGCGGTGGGTTCTGTAACCTATATACTGATTCAGTAATGAAACAATTGCTCGAGGCAGGTGGGGCCGTTAACCGGGGAGACGAATATGGTATTTCGCCGCTGCATATCGCAGTTCGAAGAAACTGCGCCAGGCACACCCGCCTTTTGTTGCATTGGGGTGCATATCCTGACGTAGCGAACTATTGGGGATTCAAACCACTCCACTACATAGCCGGCGACCAGGACGAGTATCTTTTGACGAGTACAGGGCTCGTGATCGGTATCCAAACTCACGGGAGACAAACTTTTACAACCCAAACTTTGAAAACCCAAACTTGGCGAAGGAAAACCTACGGAACGCAAACTATTACATCTCTGTAAGTTGGCAAGTATGGCAAAAGGGGTATCTTAAAGCTGGCTGGGACTAGCGACCGGGAGTGGCCCACCGTCGGCATGGTTTCAGAGCTAACATGTTCGTTCTCTCTTAGGAAGCATGGGGCGACGCTAGGGGTCTGCTTGAAAGCGAAACGACATGGTCTTTGACGAAAGAAAAGCAAAGTATCTCCGAAGTCGAGGAGATTCTAGGTTGCTTCAAGTCTAGAGGGGCAGATCTCAACGTTCAGGCGGCAGATGGCACGACACCGCTAATGTGCTGTGCATATCGAAACAAAACAATTTGTCTGACAGCGGCGAGATGGTTGGTTGCAGCTGGAGTTGACGTTGATACGCAAGATGATCGCCGCAACTCATGTCTACACCTAGCGGTGGTACAACGCAAACGAAGTCTCGTGTCTGCGCTGGTTGACGCCGGTGCTAGCCTAGAGTTGCGGAACAACAGGGGCATGACTCCTAAAGACCTTATCCGGCTTCGCCCTGACTACTGGGAAGTCTTGGAGACAGAAGTCAAAATTGAAGATGTCGAATAGTTTGAGATGCCTTTCTTACCTCATCCTATGTAGATCAGAATAAATCGGGTGTTTGAAATTTGCTACTCCTTTGATCCCTGCAGCTATGAAGTATCAATATATCCATATATCCTTCTCTACAAACGCCAGGGCAGGGAATTACATTCCTCTCTCTTGACATCCTCTAGTTAAGTGACTTAGAGACTGCGTGTTTCCTCTTTCACCATTCTACCCTCTCTACAGTGTCATCCCCTTCTTGAACGGTTTCCTTCTGCCGCGCTGCAGCGTTGGCAGCCTTCCACCGGTAATACCGCTCGTCATACTTCTGGGTGCTTTTCTTAAGCTCTATGGTCACCGGCAGTGTCTCCTCTCGACTCTCCAAATCTTGGGGATATCCGGTCAAACAGCATTCGAAGAGAATAACGTCGCCTTCATCTACTTTCTCCAGAAGCTCCTCCCAAAGCTGTAGAGTCTCCCCCTTGTGCTCATTAAGAAACGGATGGATCTGGGTCACAAAGTCCCCAAACGTGATCTCTCCGCCGTCGTCCCGTTTAACCACCGGCTTGGGGTCCTCGTATTCCTCATTGTCGAGGGTATGGCATTCTTTGCCCTCTTGCATGCCGATTCTGATCAGGAGCTCGGCCAGGCTGTAGTTGGTGACGGGTTCCTCGGCCAAGGAATGTCCGAGGAAAGGGCGTTTGGGCGAGTCCCGCTCGTCCTCTTCTGGATCATCAAAAACTTGGATTTTCGAGATGTCTTCATATACTGGCCAGTACAGCCGGCGAAGGGCATCCATGCGGAGGATGGGCGGGACGTCCTCGGGGTAGTCGGGGTACGCCATGCGTGCATCTGGGGCGGGCCATCGACCTATCCACCACTCCGACGCTGGGTCCAGTGGTTGAGGCATCAAAGATTTCAGGAAAGTAGTCAGATGACCTTGAGAATCATGGTATCAATCTGTATTTCTAAATGGGAAGATTGAGCTTTGAACTGACCTAGACGTTTGAACATTCGAGGCGAGTCGTTCCTTTAGTTATGGAAGAAAGGGGTTAAGCTAGTCTGGATAAAGTAAGCGAGATTTTAGCAAGACAGAGAACAAAAAGGTAGTCAAGAAGATTGAAAAGCTTTTCGTACTTGCTTAGATGTCCAACACATGAAGTCCGTAAGTCAAATGGATTTCTCAAATGTGCCATGAAATTGATCAGAAGACGGTATTTCAGTCCTAAAAACAACACATAACAGTCACAGTAACACCTGATGTCATATCACACTCCAAGACGCCTCAAATGTGGTTCCACGCTAACACAAGTCCGTCAGCGGCACTACCCTTCCCCACCACAAGATTCAGCCTCAGCATCCCGTCCGCCGATCGCCTTTCCTCGTCCCGGAAGAAACAAGCTCCAAAATCTATCATGGCAACGCATTCGGGGAGACGAACCAGACACAACGTCGTCTTGGCTGGACGGCTTTCTCTTAGCGCCTGCGATGTCTCACTTGTTCCTAACGACGTCAGTCCAGTTCAACCACTTGAAAATGGAGATATCAAGACACATATAAAACGGACCGCATTTCAACTGCTGATCGGGAAGAATCCCAACATCATCAGGCCTACCTTAACTCCATTCCACATCAACACGACATCATGAAACCCCCAAACCACGAACCTCCTTCCCCTTCTCGCAGCATCCCTCTCCTCAGCCTCGCCCCTAAGCATCCTCCTACCCCCCAATATGCCCAACAATAGGCCTCCCCGCAACCCGCGCCGCCCAGGTCCGCGCCGCGTTCCAGTCCTCCGGCATCATCCCCGACATCCTCACCTCCATCAACCCCAAGACCGAACTCCAGGTGCTCTACGGTAACATCCCAGAGAACCTCGGCAACACCTTCACCGCTGCGCGTACGTCCACTCTCCCTCCTTTACTCCCATCCCTCTCCCCCCTCCCCAAACTAAAGCATGCAACTAACATTGACTCTTCAACGCACCAGAAACCCTCCAAGAGCCCACAATCTCCTCCCCCCCCGAACCCCTCCACCCCCCCTCCACAAAATACACCTACATCCAACTCGACCCCGACGCCCCGGGGCCCTCCCTGCCGCTCCTGCGCTCCTACCTCCACCACACAATCTACAACCTCCAGCCCTCCTGCGTCTTCGCCCAGTCGCCCGTAACTCAAGCGCGCTACATGCCGCTGACTCCGCTCTCCGTCGCCCCGCACCGCTACGTCTCGCTACTCTTCCGGCAGCCCCCCGGAGAGTACAAGCCGCCGGCGCTGAACCTCGTGGAAGACGTCGCCCGCGCGCCGTTCGATCTGGCGGGGTACGTGCAGCAGGCGGGGCTGGTGCTGGTGGCCGGGAACTTTATGAGGGAGGGGCTCGGGAGCAGTGTGTGTGCTTTGGTGCCGGGATGTACGAGCTCTGGGGTGGGATATGTCGGGCCACAGAATGGGACGGCGTTGAGGACGGATTTGTTGAGTGGGATTTTGAATCTGTTGCCGGTGAAGGAGTAGATGGCGAAGTTGATTGTCGCCTGTGTTTAGTTAATATAGTGTCTAATAATGGTGAACACGGTTGCCAAAACGGGACTGAGGTGATTGAGCAAACATTTCTTCAATTTGTTTAGGGGTATGCTTCTAAATGATGGAAAAGAATAGAGATCGCTATGCTGCCCGCCTCTTGATTCAGACCTCAAGCATAATCCCATGGGTCATCGCCCCAATCGTCACCAGAATAGTCCACCGCAGGCTTCTTAGCCCACTTGTCGTTAGCGGCAGGAGCTGGAGGCACAACGGGCATAGGCGGGGCGGCGGCAATGCTCTTCCTCTTCGAAAACAGAGGTTCAACCGTGAGCTCACTGTCCACAGAAGGCTGGGAGCTAGTCGCCGGATCCGCAGTCTTGGGTGGTGACTGAGATAACGAGCCAGAAGCTGCCGCAGCCCGCGAAGGTAGGTGGTGTTTATCAGGTACAGAGGGAGCCTTCTCAACCGTGACAAGTTGGGGCTTCAACACAGGCTGCGCCTGAGCCTCGGATACGTCCATGGTAGAGACAGAGATGGCAGATACGGACGCGGCATCTGACATGCTGTCTGCTGTGTGTTCACTCGGTGCCACGGTTGCCGGTGACAGCCCCCGAGGGGGCAAACTAGAGACTGTTTTCTCCACGCTTTGTGTGGCATCAGCTCGTTGCGATTGATCGACTTGTAACCTTGGAGCTACCTGGGGTGCCTCGACTGCCGGAGCCTGTTGCATCTTCATCATGGGCTCTGGGCCACCGGTAGGCGGCGCCAGAATGGGCCTGGCCGGGGGTGGAACAAAGTTCTGAGGTCTAGACACTGGCTCAGACGTAATAGGCTGTTCTATTTTCTGAAATGCAGCTGGGGCTTGCTGATTGTAGGTTGCTTGGTTGGATTGGTGCGCTGCGACCCCTCCTGTGCCATGAGCTTGGGCCGGTCGAGTAGTATTTGGCGGTTGAGGCGACGCTGGGCCAGTATTCGGGGATGGTGGTGGCTTTTGCAATACGTTTGGCTTACTGGAACCCTTCATTATCTTGGAAAGCCAGCCTCCTTTCTCCTTGTCCTTGCCATGTGATGTGACCTGTGGTTTGGATCCCGGGCGCATCACTTGAGTCGGTGGCTGTATTCTCGTAGTGGTTGGGGAAACTTGGAACGGATTGGACTGCACAGGAGAGTACGTCTGACCCATGGTCGCGACCGCTGGTGGCATGGCTTGAGGCATGCCCGTGATATTTCCTCGGCCGAGCATGTTGCCCTGCCCACCGGGCGACTCCGCTGATGACGGATACTGGGATGATCCTGTTGACATTTGACGGGCACTTGCAGGGGATGCTCGAAGGGCGGAATCTGTGTTCTGGAACGCAGCGGTGCCCGAGACATTTTGGTTGGTCGCGCCAGAGTCATGGTGCTCTTGAATTGGATGAAGAATATGCCCAGGTGTTCGAGGACTAGTAGGGCCAAGGAACTGCTGTGTTGGTGGCGTGACGGTTGGACGCTGTGGACGGTCACCAAGTCTCGGTATGTTCTGGCCCTCTTCGAGTGGATACGGCGGATGGGTTCCTGGCTGATTGCCGACACTTGAAGTGGATGGAACTGGCTGTGCTGAGTGAGGCTGTGGCATCTCTTGGCCTTGCTGATACGGTTGTTGCTGTTGAGTTCCATACTTAGAAGACCCATTTAACGTCGATTGCACAGGTAAAGGCTGTGAATTCATCACGGCAAACCCCTCGGCAGACACAGAGTGTTGACGGCCTGTAGGCGACTGAATAGGCTCAATAACATTGTGGGCGCGACCACCTGGCATGCCTGACGCATGCTGCGAGACACCAGCTGAAGGCTTTGACGAAGGCATCCCCGAAACCTCAGGAGGACCCGCTGTGGTGTCAAAGCCCGCGGATCCAGGCGTCGTAGGCTGTGTTGAGGTAGGAGAGGGGCCGGAGAAAGATGCCGGCCTCGACGCCGGAGATCGAAGAGGAACAGTCTGTATCTCAAACGGGTTTTGTCTTTGAGGAACGGGGGTTGTGGCAGATTCCATGGGCCTTGCGTTCGCATCCGCGCTTCTGAAGAAGCCTGAAGACGGTCGTCTCCCGTTACTTTCTAAAGGCGAGGGTGTCTGGAATGGTAACCCTGACGATTGACTTCCCGATGGGGGCCCTAATGACGACACCTCGCTAGACGCATACGAGGTCTGTCTTGGTCTATCTGGAGGTGGAGTAGGTGTCGTCTGGTTGATGACTCTGTCTATCCTAGGATCAGACCGGCCCTGCATAAAGTCCATAGCCGACTGTGGGCGAGTAGCAATGCTAGTCTTAGGCGGGGATTCAGCCCTAGGAATCGCCGCCGAGCCAGGTCTTGGTGGAGGTTGAGCTTGGCCGATCATAGATGCAGATGTACCATGAGCATTGTGAAGAGGTTGGGGAAGATCAGACCTCGATCTTGCTCGTGCACTAAACGACGAAGCATGCTGTTGCGGTCGGCTGACTGGTTGACGACTCGAATCGCCTTGACCCGTAGGGCGCTGCAAAAACGCAGGCAAAGTCGGCACCGCAGAAGGTCGAGTCTCGAATTCGGCCATAGGGGCATGATCTCCAGCTATGTGATGATCTACAGGCGCGGTCTCGACACGCTGAATACATGGCCGAGAACCCGAGAGAGACTGTGGAGCGTGGGACGGAGCGAGGGGATGGGGGGTTTGCCCCGGCGCTGGCGTCGCGGTCTGAACTCCCGGTCGGAAGGCTGAGAATTGGGCAGATCCCGAAAGTACTTGGTTCGTGCTCGATGGTGGAGGTAGAGTTGTCGCTGCCTCCTGCGGCCGACCTCTCGCAGGCTTTAACACGGATGGTACATATTGCAAGGGACCCTTGGATGGCCCCGAAGAACGCATCACACCGGTGAGAACCCCAGACGGTTCGGTTTGCGTTCGTGTTGCATCGGGCCTCGCAGGATTCACGGTGTGTTGAATGAGCGTTTGGGTGGATTCCAACGGTTGCTTTGGGGGAATCTGCGGAGGCTGCAAGATCGAAGGCATGTTTGATGTCTCGTAGCTCTGGCGGGGGCCCAACATCAACGATGCCTCTCGTGCCAAAGAATTTCGGTGGTCGCGGCGCACAAAGTCAGGTTCTTTGGGTTGCGACTTGTCGGGAACGGGGTTCGGCGTAGATCCAGGGACATATGGCTTAAAAGTGCCCTGTTTGGCTCCCGTCTTTGACAGATTCCGTTTAATACTGAATTGTTGGGTTGTCGGCGTGGACGTAGAGCTTTGGGTCTGGTGCGGAACGACCTCCGGTAGGGAGTCATCGAGAGGAAGCTTTGGTGGCACAGCGAGAGGCCGCGTACTGGTCCTCGCCTTCCCGGAATTCGTTGGTGAAGAGTTCTGAGGTCTTGAACCTGTACCAAAGGTAGCTCCGTATAGTGCATGATCACTCATGCTCGTCTGATGTAAAAGGTCGTGAGTGGATGGGACTGGTGGTTTAGCATCTGATGGACTTGTCCGTTCGGGAAGCTCAGCAATGCCAGGGTCCATGATCCGCGTCTCTATCGGTGCCAGGACAGCGTTGTCGCCCATCTCGACTGGGTCAGGATGCGTCTCAATGTGCGCAGGCGCGGTATGTTCTGTCGCCATCTCTGCCACGAAGCCGACAGGGTCCCAAGGTGGTGACTGGACGGCCGGGTCGGCTGTCGGATGGGGCTTCTCGACGGAATCGAGCAGTGGTACTCCGGGAGATGGGATCGCTGCTTGACTTGGCCCGGGAAGCTCTTGGGTGTTGATGATCAGGACAGCCTCCTCTGTCACTGACTCTGGTACGGTGGTAGATTCTCGGACGGGAACGCTGTTCTTTGCGGATGGTGTGTTTGTCTCGCTTTGAAGAGGCGACACTCCCGTTTTTTCGCTTCCAGCCAGCTCCAGCGTCGTCCTCTCCTTCTTGGGGCTCGCGCTGTCCCTGCTTTTGCGCCAATCCCTCGGGATCTCGTCGCGTTCATCCTCGTCGGCTAGAGGGCTGATATCAGTATATGCGCCAGGCCCGAGATACATCAAGTTCTCGGGTTGGTAAAAGAATCCCGCCCCATCGTCGTCGTCAAGCGGCCCTCCGAAACCGCTCCTGCTCATCCCAAAGTCGGCCAGGGGCCCTCCAGTCGCACGCATTTGGGACTTCGGGTCAGGGTCCCCGCCGGTCCGTCTCTTCATCTGCTGCTGACTCTCAAGCTTCTCTTCGGGTGAGAGGTCGGGAATTGGAGACATGGCGTCGAAAAAGTCGGGAAACTCGTCGCCCTCCTTGGGGAAGTGGAATTGGACATGGCCATTTGGCTTGTAGCGATAGAACCAGCGGGTGCCATCATAATCCCATTCCCAGTTGGGAGGAAGAGCCGCCATGGCTGCTGAATGTTGTCTGCTGAAGTATTGGGCGCGCTGCTGGCATCAAGCTTTCGTCGAGATCGAGGTTGTCGTCGTCGTCGAGGTGTTGATTGTGCGAGGTCGAGCTCCCGGGCTCGCTGGTGGACTGGTGATCCGGAGCTCCTGCGCAGCTCGTATCGTCGCACCGCAGGATTTGAATCCGGATAGAGAGATCTGCCCGCTGGCTGCGTCAAGATGCCAGTCGTCAGTCGCACTCTCGAGAAGACATGGTCGCGTTGTCGCGAGAGGAGGTCGAGGATTGACAGCGCTGCCGCCCGCGTCGCGACAACGAGGAGGGCGACGGAGTCAACGTGGCGCAGGGCGCTTTTGGCGGCATGGTTTCAACCGATAGTCACAGGAGTGAAGGAATTGGTGGTGTCAGCTAGTCTCAATTGAGGCCGAGTGCGGCTGAGGTGCGTCAAGCTGTCTCTCGTTGGGCGCGTCCTCGAGGAAGGAAGCCTTTCAGATCCGGGCGTGGTCACAGTGGTGCGCTGTGAACAAGCAGCGCCCCACTCCCCCATGCGGGCTGGCTCTTATTTTTAGGGGTCTTGGGGGCACCGCCGGCTGCTTCACCGACGTCTGTGCCCTGGAGCAGCGCTGATTTGCAGTGTTCCCGGCAATCTGCCCCGCCTTTGCTGCCGGAGCTGAGCTAGAGGTCCACTTTCTTTCTGCATCACAGCGGAACACTGTGAATTTCTTGAGATGGCGGCCCGACTCCTTTTTCATGACATGGCCAAACTTTCACAAAAACAAAACTCACTACTCGATGCTGTAAGATGCGTTGGTCTTACCTTTGGCAACTGGATGCAGGTGACGCTGAACTCTGCGCGCTGAATAAGCTCATGATCCCCAAGGTTTGTCCCTGTCGAGACCATACGGAAATAGCATCAACCACGTCGCCGATGCTTGCGAAGACCAACCCAGCCGGCCACGTGTGGAAGTGAAGTGCAAACTTCAGTGCCTAACGTACACTGGATTTACATGGTTTGTAGGTGAATAACATGTTGGTTTATCAGCATCAGGTGAACTAGGTTGCATGCGACGAGCAGGCATCCGCGTGCACTGCCCCGCCATCAGAGACAACGGCGGCTGGAACCAACCAACAGTTCAAGGAAGACGACGTCCAACAAACATCTATAAATTCGACGGCATGAGAGCAATCAGTTGAGATTCATCCACAACCACAATGGCAACCGAGAATACAGACACATCGCGAGGGGCAACGTCCTCTAGCGATTCGCCTACTGCACTTCCTACGACAATCTACACGGAATCAAGTTTCTTCAGAGATCATCCGGGGCTACGCTTCCCAGCCCAGCCGAAGTCAGAGCCATCAACATTGCAACGGGCGATCCCTGCGCAGATGAGTTCGACAGTCCACCCCCTGTCATCATTTGCGATCTCGTTCTTTTCATCAAATATGGTCGCTTAGTGACCATTGTCGAGGCCTCGACTTAAATCATGGTTCGTGAGAAGCTCCAAGGCAAAGTGCCGGTCCCTGAGGTGTTTGGTTGGGCAGTGGATGGAGGACAGGGATTTATATTCATGTCCTTGGTCGAAGGAGATTCTCTGGAGGAAAGGTGGAGTGAGATGGCTGAAGACGAACGGCTGGATGTCTGCAAGGAGCTGAGGGTCATGGTGGATGCATGGAGAGCTTGGAAGCAAGATGAGAGTGAAAGGTACATCGGTGAGTTCTATTTCTTTCTTGCAAAAAACACAACGGACCGAGTCTGGCCTGGAATTCATCTACACAGGCAGCCCTGGAACGACATCATACTTCGGGATTATCCCGAAAACGCCGGGTTTCGAAGGCCCAGATGCTATCGAGAAATTGCACACCACTTGCGGCGTTGGGATCAACGACAAAAAACACATCGTGTTCACGCATGCCGATCTTCTCCCGTCAAATATCATGCTGACACCAGAGCCACTCCCGAGAGTTGCAGTCATTATCGACTGGGAACAAGCGGGATAGTACACTGTACCCAGAATACTCGGAATACTGCAAAGTCAAGCGAATGAATCAGTTCCTGGAGCCTCTGCATACAGAATGGGTTGAGAAGTATGTTCCCGTAATATTGAAACCGGTGAATGAATACACAGTCTACCGGGGGTTCGTGGCTTACGCGCTTGCCCGCGCTTTCTAGCGATCTGGGCTGGCTGATATGGAATTCCACCACAACTCGAGCCATATTTCACCCACGATCGCAGTTATAAATATCACATAGCTATAGAATAATGCTACTCATCAGAAATAGACTCCTATTTCTGTGCCTACAATTCTACAATTCCCGCGTACTAAAGATCAGTCAAAGCCGAATTGTTGTCCATTTCTCAGATCCCCCATTCGTCACATCTGAAATGGCATGGTCACACCTGCCCTTCGGCGCCGCCCATCTCGATCATGCGCCTGCCAGGCGGGTGCAACAAACATCGGGACGTTGCCGTGTTCCTTCCGCGCCGTCATACAGCAAGCCCTCCGGGGAAAGGCTTGCCGGAGTGGCTTCCGTCTGTGGGTTGTACATACAAGATTGACGTGGCTATCGACGTCGCTTCCTTCTCTACCTTCAACCACATGGCTTCTTCATTTGGATTCGGAACTCGCGCCAAGGGGGCGTGATTTGGTATGAAACACAGCCTCGACTCGGAAGGGAAGGTGCGAATTCGAACGGGAAGGACTGGTATCCGACGTCTGTTTTGCCTCTTGTTTTCTTGACTCCTCTTCTCCCCATTTCCACTGACCTCCATCTTCTTTCAACCTCGACAACGTCAATCCTTCAACCTCTCGTTCTTGAACCACGTCACCTATCACCTCAATTTTGGACCTTTTGGACTCCCGACACTCTCGTTTTACCCTCAGCTCCTGTTGAACTCGTTCGAAATGGCTCTCATCAACACCCTGCACGCCGCGTCGGCCATGTCCTCCATCATCCAACCATCCTTCGCCATGACCAACCCCAATCAGAATCTCGTCCTGGCTGACTGCGGCATTGGTACCAACCCACTCAACGAATCTTGGTCCACCTCCCGCCAGATGAACTGGTACAAGGGCCCCATCTGGCCTTCTTCTGACGAGACTGGATTCTTCTCCCCAGACATGATGGTCGAGATGCCTTACGGCGATGGCGAGTACCCCTGGAACTTCAAAGGTGCATCTGCCACCTTTTTCAACGGCGAGACATGGTCTGCCTGGATCGAGGACGGCACACCCGAACCTCTCCGTGCCGGCAAAGCCATGAGCACCAAAGATGGTAGCACCACTCTCTGGTGCTACACCTACCGTGGGCGACCTGTCGGACCCAGTGCAACCGGCTCCACCAGCTGCCAGTCTGCCTTCGTCTGCAACCACCGTGAGGATGGCCCGACGCCTTGGTCTGTGGGCACCACTCCCGACAACGGCACTGTGTTCACCGTACCTCCTGCCCCTCCTGCCAATGTGTCCTTCGGCGGCATCTTGGGCGTCAAGGTCGACGTTAGCCCCCGTCCTGCTGTCTGGTATGGTACCATCAATCACTTCCTCAGCAGCATCATCTTCACCACGGAGGGAATCTGCAGCCCGAACCCCTTCGCCAATCGCATGAACTCGTCGGTCATAACTCGATGCAAGGGCTCTTATGGCACTCCTCTCAACATCCTGCCGGTCCTCTTCAACGTCTTTAAGAACCTTGGCTCTCTTCCTGCCTCCGATGGTCTCTTCTTCCACGACCACGGAGCAGCCCCTTTTGCCAACGACACTTCTGATGACACCGTCGTCCTCCCTACAACTTTCAACCTCACCGTCACCGACACCATCAGTGGCGAGGTCAAGGGATATATGGGTTACGAGATGATGTGGCCGGAGCGCAGTCTCGGAATCCACTGCAACGAGTGCAACAATACCAAGTTCAACGATGCTTACAACTCAGCTATCGCATCTGCCTTCCAGGCTCTCCATCCTATCTACTCCGAGGTTATCGTCGAGAGCCAATGCACACACGATGTTCTTTGCTGGTAATTGCGTTTGTACCTATGGGAGGGATTGAGAGCATTCATGTTATGTTGCGGTCTTGTGTGTTTATGTGTACTCTGAGCACACACTTGTCAGGTGGATTGAAACCGTGGAGACATCATCGATAGTGGTTGGGTTTGTCATTACTTTGCTCACCTTGAGTTGCTTAGTTAGGAGTTACAATGAGACTACACTTTGATATCGCCCTACGGAGCTGATGTGCTTGGTGCTCGCGTTCTATCGTCGTTGTCGCTTCTGCTTTCGTCAGTTCAGTAAAGATCAACACGGTGTTGTGTTCAAAGATAGGGCGCGGTCCGTAGCCGCGGCGGATGACCCGAATGTCGGACTTTTGTCCGACACCCTATCAACCAACTAGACAGTGACGTAGTCGCCTGCATGAGTATCACCCCTGCCATCCCCAACACACTCAAGTAAATCCGGGGTAAACGGTTTGATAAGTTGTCGTTGCCCGCTCCGTGGGGCCCCCGCTGGCGGACCGACGACCATCGGGGACAAAATGACCCGATGGGATGTTCCTCTTGATACCATCCCCTGCCTCTGAAGATAAGCTCCATTAACCGCCGAGATAGAGTATCAGGCAGCCAATTGGCTGGGAAGCGGCTTCTTGGTGGCTGTATTAAACCATCGTCGATATCGTGCGGAACATCTGGATCACCTTTCAAGTCCACTCCGCGGCAGACTCTGGAAGCAAGATGCCACCAACAGACGGCAAGATGGTCGAGAAAGACACGACTCAAGACGCGACGGACGTCTCCCAGGGAGACTCCAAGACGATCCGGCACCGCTCCCACGACGGCGGGGGCAGGGACATTGCCGCCCATCTGGCAGATCAGTTCGCCAACGAGCCGGACTATGATCGCCAAGAAGAGGTCAAGCTTCGCTGGAAGCTTGACTTTCGGCTCATTCCGTTTTTGTGGCTTAATATCACGCTGCCTGCCATGGACAAGATTACGCCGTCGACGGGGGCGCTGTATGGGATGAGGGAGGACTTGGGGCTGAAGGGGGATCAATATGCGTGGGTTGGGTCGGCGTTCTACGTAAGCGTTGTTTTCTTTCTCGGTCATGTTGAGAGTTGAGAGTTTGGAGAGGGAGTATTGCTGACTTGATGCGTGCCGTGATGCAGTTTGGGTATTTGCTGTGGTGTTTCCCATCATCGCAGATCCTCCAACGACTCCCGATCGCAAAGTCCATGTGTGCGGTTATGATCATATGGGGCTTCGTGCTCATTGGCGCTGGGTTTTGTCGAAGCTTTATCCCAATGGTCATCACCCGTGTTCTTCTAGGCGCCCTTGAGGCTCCCGTCGCTCCAGGGAACTTCATCATCATGACGATGTGGTACACCCGTGAGGAGCAACCCATCCGAGCAGGGCTTTTCTACACCGGTACGTCTTATCCCAATGTTCATATACGCTTTCTAGTCTTCATCGTAGTATTGACACTACATCCTCTCCAGGTCTCGCCACAATCATAACCGGCACCCTCGGCTGGGCCGTCGGCTTCCTCCCCACCCACGCCTGGCCCTCCTTCTTCTACATCACCGGCGCCATCTCCATCCTCTACGGCGCCCTCGTCGGCGTATTCCTCCCAGACAACCCCGTCCGCGCCAAGTTCATCACGCCGCGCGAGCGCTTCGTCGCGATCGAGCGCCTGCGCGCGGACCAGCTCGGCATCGAGAACAAGACCTTCTCTCCGCCGCAGCTGCGCGAGACGCTGCGCGACCCCAAGACCTGGCTGATGTTCTTGTTTAATATCTGGGTGAGCATCCCGAACGGCGGGCTGACCAACTTCGCGCCGCTGATCGTCAACGGGCTGGGGTACTCGCCGCAGCGGAGCACGCTGCTGATGATGCCGACGGGCTTGGTGCAGACGCTGAGCAGCTATGTGTGCAACTTTGGGGTGTACGTGTGTGTGAGGAGGTTTAAGGGGTGTCAGTTGAGGGGGGCGTTTGTGATTGGGGGGCTTGTGGTTGGGATGGTTGCGACGGTGTTGTTGTATACCCTGCCGCTGGATAGTTACACGGGGAGGTTGTGGGCTTTGTATTGGTCGTATTTCTACCTCGGGCCATACATCGGTGCGCATATTCCGTCCTTTCTCGTGGAGGATCGCAGCTGACCATCAATGATAGTTGCTCTAGGCATCAACAGCGCAAACACCGCCGGACACACGAAGAAAGTTACGACGAACGCGATTGTCTTTGCTGCGTACTGCATTAGCAACATAATCGGCCCGCAGTTCTTCAAGTTGTCACAGGCGCCGCTGTATCCGCTTGGTATGGGTGCCATGCTAGTCTCGTACGCGCTAAGCATCTTCACCATGATACTGTACATGTTGTACTGCTGGAACGAGAACAGAAGACGGGAGAAGCTGGATCAGGATGCCGGGCGGAGGGTCCATCTGGATACAGACTTCCAGGACTTGACTGACAGAGAGAACGTTCACTTCCGATACGTCTGGTGAAAGGGAACGTTGGGTCCAGCCCATCATCACAGCATGAATCAGGTCTCGAGAAGCTTATAATCCACATTCAAACGCCGAAGATTTCATGAAACATCTACATCAAGTACTTGTGAACATTCCACGTCTGCGCGACAGAAAACATGCCCCATCCAGCCATACCCCACGTCATCCACCTAAAGAGCACATTACACAGCTGCATAAAGTTCCTCCTCCTCGTGCGCCCGATAAATGAGTCCCCCTCGTTCACGTACGGAAACGGCGTGTCCGGCACAGGACACCCCAGAAACTTGCACAGCGGCTCCCACCCGTCGCTCATCCTGAACTCAAGCAGGTTCTCCTCTGGCACAGTACTACGGATGTGCTCGTTGTGCTCGAGGAACACCTGCTTGCCGTGCTTCTCAAAGTCGCCCTTAAAGATAGTGCTCCAGTACTTGTGCAGCATCGGGTAGTACATCGACGACGCCCAGTCGACGTACGACAGCGCCCACAGGAAGGGGTCGTTGGCGCGGTGGTTGACGGTTCCGAGGGCGGACTGGTGCCAGCGGTCGACGTCGCGCGTGGTGAGGAGCACCTTCGCGTCCGGGTACGCGGCGATGAGCTCCTCCGCGAAGGAGGCGGCCGGCCAGTCGCAGACGGCCTGGCAGTGTCCGAGGAGCGCGTCCCACTTGTCCTTGCCGAAGGAGCCGACGCCGTCGAACTTGGCGGCGAGGGCCTCGCTCCAGAGGAGACAGTCGGGCGGGTTTTCGGCGCTGGCGTTGAGCATGTGGTAGGTGTCGACGTAGCCCAGTTGTTTGAGGGCTGCGCGGAGGGCTGGGTTTGGGGGTTAGGAAGGGTTGTTGGGGGGTTGGAGGGGGCGGGTTGCGTACATGCTGTTCCTGTGCGTCCGAGACCTAGGCAGAGGACCTTCATGGGCACCACGCGCGTCAGTTTGCGGCGGTCGATGTCGGTGTCGTTTGTGAAGACGTCGGTGATCGGCCTTGAGGCACCCCCTGCTGTTAAGCCCATGATGATGACGTGTATCTCTAGATTCTTTTGTGGGTTGGGTATCAAGTGTGTGTAGTATACGGGCTAGAAGCAGTAGAAGGGTCAATGAAGCAACGGCAACACTGAAATGGTAAGTTCGAGTGATCTTGGGTGAGAGTTTTGTCAGTCCAGTCAGTCCAGTCAATCTTGTCATTCTTCATGTTTTATGGAGTCTATTTATCTTCAGCGCAGATCTCTGAATGCTTCTCGGAGCTGACCCGAGACCGGAGAGCAGCCACTTCAGTGGAGTTGTGTTTCTGCGCTGCAGCAAACTCTGCAATTTCCGATCCATGCCGCGCTTTTACGAAATCACGTATGAGACTGAGGAGATCCCTTCTGGAGTCGGAGGCAACCTCGATTCCCGAGATAGAGTTGGGGACTTGTGACCGGGGGGCTGTAGCCAATGTTGGACGAACACCACGGTCCACAGTGCTACTTTCCTCTCCTGGGTCGAAAGGGTAACTCCAATGATTGGGAAGTGATGCTGCAAAGTTATCAGATCAAAATACCAAAAGGAGCTCCTGGTCTGTTACGTAGTTAACTGGGGTTCGGAGGAGTCCGCGACCCTCCTTCGGGCTCAACTGTAAATATCAACCCCCCGTCGCGGCTCTCGGTAGTTGTAGTTGCGACCCACCGTAGCGGCCCGGTTCGTGATGTTGAATGTGGACAGCTGAAAGCCACGGCCTGCATGTCGATCAGCCACCAGTGATGTTGGAGTGTGAGCTTGTGAAGCGGTATGGATACGACGAATTCTCGCAACTCCCCCACTACCCGATGCCAAGCTTTAAAGCCAAGGGTGAAAGCCGTTTCTTGGCTGTGGAGTGTTCTTGGGCATCAGATCGGCCTCGGGTGGGCCTATACCGAATTCCATTGGCAAGAAGAGACTTTAGGTTCGAGGTCCATCCCATGGTTCGATCTGGTGAATAAATATGCACTAACAGGTTTGAGAGAACACGTATCATCACATGCTGATTTCCCTGTGCAGATATGAGTTTCAACCACGATCGATGAGGCACAATCTTCTATGGAAGAAACCGCAGCTGAAGCTTCACCAAACAACGATCATTATTGAACCATTACAAGTAGAATTGTTCTGTCACCATCCGTGCTACTCGGTATTGATAGCCTAGATAGGCAGGAGCCTTCCGAATAATGAACTGCCGATGAGGCTTTTGATCCATGTTATGGGGCGAGAAATTTTTTCAATGTGATGGATCTCCACGCGCGTGTGTCTCAAGCGCCGTGGTCCTGATGAAGCACGCGAGGAACCGGATCGCCTTGCGTGAAAGGATCGATTGAGATTGATTGATTAGATTGATAAGATTCATTTGATGGGCTGCTCGCCCACATCGCGAGGCAAAGAGGGGGCAGCGGAAGGTTTATGTTGCAATCGATCGACATCAGGACAGGGGGTTCGGAGTTCCGAGTCCACAACGATCCATCCAGTGCGGAACAAATTTGTAAAGATCCACACCGAGTGCCAGAAAAGCCAGCGGATAGCGGTCCGAGATCCTGCTGCTGAACCGACAACCTATGATAGCCGTCCGATCGTGAAGGCGTCGTGTTTGCAAGTGATATAGTTTGGGTTGTCCGTCGAAGAATTGGTAGTAGGGAGACAGGCTTTGCCTCTAAGGTGAGCAGAGATGGCCCTTGATTGTGTATTTTGGAATTGTGAGGGCTCAATCAACAGATCGTGGGACTGATGAGAATACGATTTGACTGAGAAGGTAGCACGTCAACCCCCATTCCATGGACAAACGCACGAAATAGTTGGATGTCAGCAATTATCTGAAGCTGGGGATAGGTGCCTGATGTTCGTCTGGGGAAGGGAACCCTTTGTCCTACTCCATGCAACCTTATTCTGTGGATTCCCTTGCATCTCTTTGAATGCTGCGGCTAGCCTCATGATGCCATCCTGGATCTCAATCACGTCATGCCACGCCCAACATAACCTAAATCCAACTCCAAAGCTGGTCTTTGCCCGCTCCAAACTGCCGGGGTCACCTGCCACAGTCATCATTTCACCATGCGCTACTCGGACGTTGTGGCGTTCCAGAGCGAACTCTGCAAACTGTTTGCCTGAGATGGAGCCACGAGGTAAGTTGAGATAGACAAAGAATCCTCCAACTATGCCGGGTTCATCGTTGTCAAACTCAGATTGCCTTGGCGCAACAGTGATACCCAAAGGAGACAGGTATTCCGAAATAGCTTTTATCATAGCATGGTACCGCTCCTGATATGTCGGAATCAGCTTCCCACGGATATGCCCATCCAACGCCCCACTGCTCAGCAGATGGCCCATGAACATGGACGACAGATGTCCCTGGCAACCTCCCGATCTGACGGAACCTAGGTTGCACATCTCCTTCGCCATCTCAGGAGACCCCTCGACCCACCCGACTCTCACCCCTGGCGCGACGATCTTGGAGAAGGAACCATTGCTCGCCGTGTTGCCCCAAGGGCTGCCGTCTGGTAAGGCGCGGTCCACATCAACGAGTCTCGGGGGAGGTGGGGGAAGCTCAGATGAACCGGATGCTCCATGGTCTGCGGGCCAGCGGAGCCAGTCATACACGTCGTCCGCGATGATCAGGGCGTCGAACTGCCGGGCCAGCTCGACCAGCTGCTTCCGGCGGCGGAGAGACATGACCTTTGCGCTGGGATTGCTGAAGGTTGGGACGACGTAGATGACATGTCGGTAGACCTTTGGAGACGCCACGGTGCTAACGAAAGCGGGGTCGGGTGGTTCTCTTGTTTCCATCTCCAACAGTCCCTTACGAAGGTAGCCAAGGTCAATGCCCTCGTCGTCCTCAGGGACTCCCCGCATTCGGCCCTCGAAACCAGCTTCTTGAAATGATGGACATGCTAGGAAGTAGGTTGGCTCGATCATCCAGATACCCCTAGTAAACTCTGGGTCGGTAAATCTTGTGAGAAGCATGGAGAGCGTTGCGGAAGCTCCGTTGGTGATAAACAGGCGCTGCGGAGATATTGAGCCAGCTGAAGGTTGGTAGAAACCACTGAGCCATTTGGCGAGGGCTTCTCTGAGGGAGTCTTGGCCCTGATCAGGGCCGTAGACTAAAGCCTTCGCCGCAACGTCATCATTGAGAAGGATTGTTTGGGCGGCGTCGGCTAATTGCTTCTTGGGGAACAGTGATGGTGAAGGCCAGCTGTTTATGGTGTTAGCCGTTGAGTACTGGAATAAGTCAACTATCTTGTTTCATCCTACCCCAGCTGGAGATTGATGTATGACTTTGGCTCCTGTAGAGAAGTCATCGTGATTGCTAGTTTGGTATCTTAATGTTAATGGTAGAGTAGCTATGACTTTGGATTGCTATGGCACATAGCGCTTTATTCAGCAAGTATTCTCGTCATGAAATAGCAGCCATGTAGCCGCCAATGATTGCCGCTTCCAACATTGTCGGACAAAAGTCCGACAGCATTCAGCCTGGCCCGCCACGCCCGCCATCTTGGCGGAGGCCAGCGGCACCAACAGACGTCGGCGACGTGGATCAACAGCCATGGCACTGCGGGGGCTATGAGTGCGGGGGAGGTGCATGGAGGAGATATCGATCACGCGATGTGTCCAAAATGAGTGGGCGTATTCACGGTGACATCCCATTGAGAGTTACTAACAGGGTACTGTTGCCAGAACTGTGTCTGATATTTCGTGACGCGTTCGCTCATCGCCATAGCCTTTCTCAAAGCGGTCATTGTCCGCCGGTTCCACGGCAGTTCATCCGGTCTATTCCCAACCACCGCGAGCTCCAGCGAATACTGGGGCATTGATTGGCGATTCCAGCACGACATTACAAGGGTGTGTGATACGCCTGCATGTCGTTTTGATAGGCACTATCTCCTCACAAGAGAGTACTGAGCTTATCGTTGCCGCATTTCGGACTGAGACGCCGATATCTGAAGAGCCGATCACTCACGCGGCCCTTCTTCAGACTCACTGACGGACTTCCAACTCATGCTCGCAATCTAACAACACGCCATGACTAGACATTCGAGAATGCATCCAGCAAGCAAGAACCCGCGGAGGATCGCTTGTATTCGTTGCCGGACACGGAAGAAACGTTGCGACCACGCCGTACCCACATGCGGCGAATGCAGAAGAAGCGGATCGGAGTGCGCCCCGTATGGCGCAAGAAATTCCGGCTCATTTGCGACAATACCGGTGGCATACCTCCGCCAGCTGGAGGCGCACGCGGCGGAAGCGCAAAGATCTCCGCCTCCTACCGACATGATGGCCCACGGTATTAGCACCCAAGAAGCTGCGGAGGACTCCGACGGAGCTAATGATTCTGCTTCTCCATTTGATGGTGGTGGATACATCTCTGGCACCTCGCGAGGTGCACGTCTGGTTCTACAATCAGAACAACGTCAAGTCGATATGGAGGGTCCAGAGATCAACATCCCGAATGATGGACCGCCGCGTCGGTTCTCATGCAACTCGCTTGCCGGCAGCTCCATGACCACTCCCCGAACTGTCTTGTCAACAATTGGCAAAGATTGGCTGGACCACTATACAAAAATCTACTTCCGGCATGTGCAGCCTCAATGGACGTTCATTGACGAAGTAGCTTGGCGAGACGCGTATGCGACTCACTCATCTAGTTTGTCTGAGGCTGCGATATGCCACCATTTTGTCATTCAAATGGTGTTAGCCATTGGTGCTCTAGTGAGCAGTTCCTTCCGCGCAGACTGTCCGCACCTTGCACATGCATCCAGACTTCATGACGAAGCTATGAACAAGAACCTGGGCAATGTTACCGGACATTCGTCACCGCTGATCAGAACTCAAGCTTCCTTGTTGATGCTTCTGTATGCATTTCATGGACCATCGCCAGACCCTGTTTCTGGAAGTGTTATGTTGGTTCTCATGAATTGTGCAAATCTGATGGATGACACACAGGAGGTCGATGATCACGCTGGAAATCTTTGCGTGGACTATGAGCATACCCGTAACATGACTATCATGAGCTCCCATATCTTGAACGAGGTCGTGGCGTCAGCTTGGACATACCCCGAGCCATTCATGTTCGAGATTCTGGACGAAAAGGTGACCTATAAGCTCCCTTTCATTGCATATTCTTCTAACCTAACAGACTTCAGATCTTTCAACACGCCTCCCAAATGCCTGCCGGTGAAAAGGAGACGGGATTCTACAGTCACATATTCCAACTCAGGTGTATCCAGTCAAAGATTCGTCACTTCAACAAGAAGCTTCAGAAGCTGGATCCCTCGGATCCATTCGGAGAATCTAGCCGACTGCGCTTGAAAGATGAACTTCAAGCATGGAAAGAGAAAATCGAGGCGGTCACGAATTCAAGCCCCAAAGATGACTTGGTATACCATGAACCTAGTTCACTGTCAAAACTGTACGACTACAGCTTATCTATTCTGGTTCAAGAGCGTCCGTGCATGATGGGCCACGAAGAGGTTGGTCAATTAGTGGAATGCTGCAGCGAGGCGTGTCGTACCTTTCTGTCATCTCAGGAGAATGACTCGGTGATATACCGGACTTGGACTGCCGTAAGTCTAAACTTTCCCATGGATCATCTTACTCCGCTGACTTCATTGCAGTTGATGTACCAATTCAGACTCGGGATCATTTTACTTTACTGTTACGCAATGACGCCACCGCTCCTTAGGACGGCAAACTTCAGTCTTCCTGATACCATCTCCGGCTTTGAATGCTGCCACAGAACTCTGGAGAAGTTCTCGATCAGGTGGCCTCGGGCTCTAGTATTTCTGCAGTCCTTTCAGCTCCTGGCGGAGTCGGTGTTCGATGGCCCTGCCTTCGGTGGCCAAGCATGTAATTCGAACATGCTCGACTCGCCGTCATCCCAGTCATTGTGTTCGCCATATGCCCTAGAGGGGGAGAGGAAGATTCGGATGCAGAGCTACATCGTCGAGCTACGCGTACAGCATGTTCATCAAGCGGTCATCAGCTTGATGGAAGAGATGCTTAATCGACCTCAGCGCCAGGACCTGAATTATGAAGGATTGGATCTCTTGCCGAATATGTCAATCGCTGGCTTTGATTTGTTCAATTTCTGACTTGAGCTTCTCTAATAAATAGCCGGGCTATTCTTCCACCTGTGTAACGGACGTATTTGACGTCTTTAATAGAGCATGTTCTAATTGAGCGTTAGACATCAAGCAATATTCATGTCATGGCGTTAAACTTACGAAGTTGATCTTGTACTGGGAGATCTTCTTCCATCCATCCTCATCGACATAGCTCTGCTCTGCCGTCCATTCACCTTGCTGTTCCTTTCCCCCGGATCTCTGATACGTGGTGACCCCCTCAATCTTGAGAGTAAGTGGTGACTCGTTCATAATTGAGACCTTCTTAACATCATGCACTCGAGAGTCGGTGTTGCTCCAGCTCTCTTCGAGGTACTTCTGAAGCTCTGACGTAACGCTGGTGTCAGTGCATTAAATTAATGACGTGAAGAAGTGGAAGTCTCACCAGGAACTCCAGTAGGCCCATAGTCACCCTTAATGAGCTTGGCATTCTTGCTGAAGCAGCCCGCCCAAGCAGCGCACGCCTCCTTTCTGTCTGCTGCCTCGTAGAGAAAGTCGATTCCTCGCTTGACTTCTGGTGCCAAGGCGTTGGAGTCGTACTCATAGTCAAGGATAGCCATAATGAAGGAGAGTCTGAATCAACTGGGGTATTTTGGTGCTGGTATTGTATGGTAAGAGAGAGGGTGGAACTAAGTCTCTAATCAATGCCTTTATATCTGAAGGACGAAAAAAGTGATTTAGTTGGCATCATTGCCAGTCGCGAGAGTTGGGCAAGCCGCAGTCCGCCTCCCGCAATGGCTCGCAAACCCCGCACACAACGTCGGACAAAACTCCGACAGACGAATGTACGCCGCCGTTGTCGTAACACCTCTTCCTGATCGGTGCGACGCCCGCAAAGGACGGATTATCTCGACATTATGTGCCGAAGATAAGGAATGGGAAATGAGAGCTACTAGTAGCTCGGGACGCTTCACGCTACCTGAAGCTAGCTATCAGATCTTCCCTCCAGGCAAATCTTTCATTCCAATTGCACGGAGTGCGAGATATCTTCTCTTAAAGGGACATCGTCAAATTCTTGGGCGCTTCGTAATCGCAAACACCATGTCCATCAAGAAGGCGGGATCTGGTATCGAGCCGTGCCAGGAGGAGCCCACAGCTGGCTCAGTTAACGACATCAAAGATGCGAACGATTTGGACGATCAAGCAGCCATCTTTCTTCGAGAACATGAAGTTGAATGGGCCAACTACGAAGCCTCTGAAGCCAAACGAGTTCTACGGAAGATAGACTGGCGTTTGATGCCTCTCATCGTGGGAACGACCATCATCGCCGCGGTTGATGTTCGTTAAAATCCCAGCCTGCTCATTGAGCCTTTAAGGAGTAACACCTACTGACTTCGGAGCCCAGAAAATTCTCATTTCGAATGCTGCACTCTACGGCATGAACGAGGACACGCATCTGGTGGGACAACAATACAGCTGGGGTAAGTTCTTGCGTCTCTCATCCAATCGGCTTGCTCATTCTTCAACAGTTGGGTCAATCTTCTACTTCGGATGGCTTATCGCCGAATACCCTGCGAATGCCGTCCTTCAAAAGCTTCCGGTCGGCAAGACAGTTGGCACGGCGGTTGTAGCGTGGGGCGGCTGCGTCATGTGTCTTGCAGCCGCTCAGAACGCAGCTGGCCTCATGGTTCTTCGGTTCCTGATGGGTGTTCTTGAATCCCCACTGTTTCCCGCTGTTACGATCCTGAACACCATGTGGTACAAGAAATCAGAACAGCCTGTCCGCATGGCTATCACGTTCACAGGGTTCTCTAGCGTCCGTTGACCCAATTTCATGAAAAAGTCGTTCGGCTAACATGATTGTAGCTTGTGACAGGAGTTGTCTCATACGGCATAGGTCATGCACAAACCGGTATTGCGTCGTGGCGGCTTTTGTTTCTCGTCATCGGAGGATTCACTGTGCTTTGGGGAGCCATTCTACTCGTCTGGCTCCCTGACTCGCCACTTGCCGACAGTTTCCTCACGGACAAAGACAAGTACATCGCACTAGACCGAGTCAAGGATAATATGACTGGTATTGAGAACAGGGCAAGTTGACTGCTTAGTGAGTTTTGATGTATGAACTGACCTTGTACTTCACAGAAGTTAAAGTGGTACCAAGTTCGTGAAGCCTTTACCGATTACAAGACCTACATACTTTTCACATTCTTCTTGAGTATGAACGTACCGACAGGTGGCCTGGTGACCTTCGCAGCCCAAATCGTCTCAGGACTCGGGTACGGAAAGTTGGAAACTACCCTCCTCGGCATGCCGACGGGGGTGATGCAAAGCTTGGCTGGCTTCATGGTAGCCATACCGCAAAGATGGTTGACAAACAAGAGATGCCTTTCGGCAGGACTTTGTTGTCTCGTTCCCCTGGTCTGCTCGATTGTTATCAAAGGTACCGTACCTGATCCGCTGCCTGAATGCCGTCACTGATAGCCGCCAGAGCTACCACATGACAACAAGGTAGGCCGTTTGATGGCATACTACTTCTTCTACTTTTTCTGGGGTCCATACGCTACAGGTAAGCAATTCGATCCACACTCGGGCAACGCTTTCTGACAGAATATGCAGCACTATCTCTCCCAATGGCGAACGTGTCAGGCCACACCAAGAAGCTCACCATTAATGCCACCGTGTTTTTCGCTTACTGCATTGCCAACATTGTTGGGCCTCAAATATTTATCGAGAGAGAAGCTCCCAATTACACGACCGGATACAGCGCCATCATGGCGTCTGAGGTGGTGGCTATCGCGTGCATGGTATCGTATGCAGTTGGATGCATGATTGAAAACAGAATCAGGGATAGAAAGGAGGGTACGGAAGTAGACGTCACTGTCGTTGATCAGCTCGGGGATCTCACCGATTACGAGAAGAGGGGGTTCCGATATGTTTACTGACGGACGTGGAGAAGATCTAATAGAGTAGACAAGCTTGATATTGCGACCTCGAAGGGTTGCGTAACATCACCCGCTCAATAATTAGAAACATCCATCTAGTCTCATAGTTCACGTGGCAATTCCTGTTCTTGTTTTGGACTGGAAGTGAAGGTCATAATCGTGGATGCAGGGAAACAACAAATTACAAAACCACTTCTTTCTGTGGATTTTATCTCGGCTTACTGGTTCCCTAGTGTGATGCATCTGAGGATTGTAAGTGGCTGGCTGGCATGCTATGCAAGCCCTTACAACTAACAAGCATCCGTAAGGCTTATCTTTGAGACAATCGCCACCAACACCGTTTGTAAGAATGGTGGGCTCGGCAAAACCATAGACTGAAAGGCGAAAAGCGAGGCCGAAGCCCTTCAACGCTTACCTTAGGTATTGGGTGCTGATTCTCAATGTCTTGACTGCTGGCTGCATGTCTTACTATCACGCCGTTCGGGACCGAAGCGTACCGGTTGATGTCTCGATCATTCGATTTCAAGACAACTTGGGGCAATCGATTGCAGGATATGTCCCCGAAGCCTGCTCATCGGGACTGGAAAGATTTGTCAGAAGGCATGGACATCCAATCATCAAGGTCGGAGACAAAAAGTCGTGTCAGTAAGCTGCGAGACGCCTCGTTTGATACGATGCTTGTTACCTGATTTCAAAGACGAATGGACGATTGGTGATTGTTGTTGAGTTTTGCAGCATCACACCACCTCTCCTGATCAAATGCAGACAACGTGTCATGTCCTCAATCATCTCCTATTGTCAATGAGGTATCTCTCAGACCCGAAATGATCAACCGTGGGGGCCGGCACTGACAGCCGGCTTGCCCCTTGCTAGCCACTGAGGAGCCTCATTCAAAGTGTGGCTGCGCTGGATAGTGGAGATCAGGAACCGAGTGCCATCCCATCTCTCTCCCACACCATTGACCGACTACAGTTTCAGAACAACAACATCGAAAAAGACGTTGGTTGTATGGGAGGGTGGCTTGACCGGTTTAACGCCACCATCTGTTGAACCAGTATGGAAGCTTATTCCGTAAGACACTCATGCAAATCCGACGTCGGCCTCACCCGTCCGGACTTCCCCACCGATCTGTCCGGAGCTGGGGTCACAGACCGAAGGAATGCCCTTACGTTTTCCAACTGGTATTTGGTTCCCCGCATTCATCCCTGGGCTTTCAGCGGTTTGCCTGCACCTGTCATCCCATCTCAGGGAAACACATTCGCCTGGCTTAACTTACCAACTAGTCCCAAAATCAGCATCTAATCTCAAATTTGACGAGGAGTATTTCATAGAGACGTAGAGGTACCATCAAGTCACCAGTTCGTACGAGCGCCGTTGGAACGACCCACTTGCGACGAAAGGGATGCATGTAAGCTCGCCATCCATCCTTGGATTCGACGATTGATAGCCCTGTCTATGTCCAAGTTCCGGAGTCTCCCTGCAGGATGGTGTCTCTTTTGCTGACTGAATTCATGTCTAGTCTGAAGCAGGCATCTGCAAGGTCGTACACCACTAGTCTCTGAATGAGCAGGCACCTTTTTCCTCCTGCATGGTCTCTTGAGCGGAATGAACGCGTTTTCACAATCCGATAGCAAATCTTGTTTACAATCAATTTACCAAACGCTTACAAGCTTCTTCCTCTAGGACAGCGAGACTGACATGCTGGAAGATAACCAAAATTGTTTTCTTTGCCCTCGCGGACTCATGCAACATGTTCCCTGATGTGGAAAATTGATCACAGATCGTCATCCTAAAATCGACAGTATTACTGTATTGGCTCAGGCGCATGTTATTCTGGATGGCCATCCCTGCGCACCATCCTTCGGATCAGTCACCAAATGTCTTCCGCTGTGCTTTTGAGACATGCACCATCGTACCGGCTCAGCTGGTGGGGGGTGTTGCAAGGCTTCTCGTTTATGATGCTCGCATCAGCTCGGGCCAAGGCATCATCCCCTTCGCAGAATCTAGCCATCCAGAGGATGCACCATTGGGCCGAGCGGTTTCCCGGCATTCCTAGCTCATGAACAAAGGAGGGCGGTATTGCTGGAC